AAAGGAAAAATTTTAACTTTTTCTAAAGTTGTTATAGTACCCTCTTGTCCATGATTATAAAACCATATATGCATACTCCACAAATAATATGCTTTTCTTTTATTAATTTAAAATTTACATATAAACTATATCATTTTATACAAATTATTCTACAACTTTAAAAACTTTCATTATTTTACGTTAGCAATGCTTATTGAACGCATTCATCTTGTGAAAAATATACAGAGCACATCCTGATCTCTTCTATTCAGCAATTTTTGTTTTTCATTGAATTTTAAAACTTTAGGATCTACAAATACTAATACATTTAGACATTAAATATTTGGATTGGCTTTGTTCATTGTGATTGCTTTGTGGGGCTCCATTTTATGATTACAGGGTGTGACCACCCTTTCTTTTGCTATTATTCCTTGGTGATCCTTTCTTTTCACTGTGACAAATAAAACAAAAGTGAATATCTTAGTTTTAATATTTACTCCTAGTATTTAAGGGATATCACCTTTATTCGTGCTTATATTTCTCTTATCAAAGTACCTCTCATTAAATCAGAGAAAATTAGTTTTCTATTTTATCATCAAATTAAGATTTTGTGTTTATAAGCATGTGTATTAAGTATGTTTTTCTCATGCTGTATCATTTCCTTATCTTATCTCCTCTCCTATCTTTTATCTTTTTTCTATATATTTGATCATCAAGAATATTCTCCGGGCCTGGGAGAGGCTCAGTAGACTAAGCACTTGCCTGGCAAGCACAAGGGTCTGAGTTCAATCCCTGGTTCTGAAAAACAAAAGAATATTTTCTTTCCATTTTTGTAGTTTACTTCTAACTAATAAAGTAGGCAAATAGGAAATGCAAATGAACATATAAAAGTAAAGTTTATACATACAAAATATATGCATATATTTTTTTTTGCTTGTGTATTTTAGAATGGTATTTATTTAACTTTAGGCCCCAGAACTACCAGAAGAACAAGAAGAATTTAAAGAACTTATTACCGAAGAAACATTTACTTATGTACCACCTGTCTCTAAGCCTTGGGTTTCCTTGGGCAGTGAAAAAGAAATTGAGGAGGAATCAGTTAAGAAATCTACAAAGCAGGTCAGAAACTTAAATATGATCGCCAGTCATTACTATTGTATCTGTACATTTATTCTCAAGGGATTGATATAATTTGCTATATGTGCCATGGGGGTATATTTTTTTGTTCTTACTTTCATAAAATAATTTTCTTAAGCAGGGTAATATCACGTGAATCTCTCCCTCCAGAAAGATATGTCAAAGCCCTCATCACAGTAGCTCCGAATGTGGCCCGATTTGGAAGTAGTCTTTGCAGATATAGTTAGATAAGGTGAAGTTACATTTGAGTAGGGTGGGCTCCTAATCCAGACTTATCAGTATCCTCATAAGAAGAAGGCTTTGGGGGCCATAGAGGGATAAGAAGAACACCATGAGGAGACGGAAGCAGGGGTGGGAGGGACGTACCTACAAGCCAAGGAACACTAAGGGCTGCTGCCCAACACCAGAAGGGACAGGTCTCTTTGCTTCTCAGCCTTCCAAAGAAACCAACCCTCCAGCAGCTTAACTTCACATTATCAACCTTCACAGCTATGAGAAATAAATCAGTGGGTGTGTGTATGTTTTTGTTGTTGCTGTTGTTTGTTTGTTTAATGTCTTTGGTTGTTGCAGGGTCTCACTAGGCAGCTCCGACTTGTAGTGATCCTCCTGCTTTCAGCCTCCCCAGTGCTTTACTGGGATTACAGACATGCGTCAGCGTGCCCTGACTTGGTGGCGGCATGTGGTGCCTGGGATCAAACCCTGGTCCCTGAATTTGCCTAAGCTTGTGTAAGCAGGCGCTTAGTCTGCTGAGCTATCTCGC